TAATAATAAATAAATTTAAAAAAGAAAAGAAACCATAAGCCTTCAGGTTTATTACTAGGACCCTGAGAGAAAGTAGTCAAAGATATCCCTTAGGGATCCCAATCCTAGTTGTAAATGCAGGGAACAGGGAGTAGAATGTACTTTTTTTGATTCTTTTATTTCAAATATAGCTTTTTAAAAAATCACCCTTTTTCAGTTGTTCTTAGATTCCCTTGCCAGCCTCAGCTTATTCTGAACTTTAGAACTTCTGGCACTTTAAAAAAAATTCTATTTTTAAATAAAAATTTATTTTCCCCCTTTATGCAATGAAAAATTTATCTATCTATGTATTTATCTACATGTACACCCACACACACACATAGACACACAGATGTGTGTGTGTGTGTGTGTGTGTATGTGTGCATAGCCAACCAGAACATGTTCCCACATTGGACACATCCAAAAAATATGTTTTGAATATATACATATATATATATACATATATATATATATACGTATATATATATATATACGTATATATATGTATATATATATATATATACATATATATATATATATATACGTATATATATATATATCCTGAACTATGAGTAGGTAGCATGGGTAGCGTATGGATCATATGGAATCCTGGTTGGCCACTGCATTGATCAAAGTTCTTAAGCCTTTCAAAATTGTCTTTGTAATTTTGTTATTACCATATAAATTGTTCTCCTGGTTCTACTCACTTCATTTTGCATCAGTTCATAACTCTACCTAGGTTTCTCTGAAACTGTCCCCTTCATTATTTCTTGTGACACAATAGTATAGTCATTCCCCAGTTAATGGGGACACTCTTAGTTTCCAGTTCTTTGATACCACAGAAAAGTTTCTACTAATATTTTTATAATTATGGATTGTATTTTACTTTCTTTGGGGTATAGGTCTTTTGGTGGTATTGTTGGATCAAAGAATATGCACAATGCAGATGATTCTGCACTCAATGCATCCTCTGAAGCTGAGATACAACAAAGTATGGATCGACTCTCTGCTGCTTGTGCTAATTTTGGCCTAACAATTAACACTAAGAACACACGGGTGCTCCATTAGCCACCACCACACCATCCATATGTGGAACCCTGGGTTACAGCAAATGGAGAAGTTTTGAATGCTGTGGATAAATTCACTTACCTTGGCAGTGTACTTTCCGGGGATGTACACGTTGATAATGAGGTTGACACATGCATTGTCAGAGCTAGCTCAGTGTTTGGGAGGCTCCAAAGGAAAGTATAGGAGAGAAGAGGTATTAGATTGACTACCAAACTGAAGGTCCACAGAGCCATTGTGCTGACCTCATTGTTGTATGCCTGTGAAACCTGGACAGTATACTCACTCCATTCCAGGAAACTGAATTGCTTCCATTTGAATCATCTTAGGAAGATTCTGAAGATCACCTGGCAGGATAAGATACTAGACACTGAGGTCCTTTCCTGAACTAAACTGCTAAGCATTCAAACTCTGCTTCAGCGAGTGCAACTCTGATGGGTTGGCCACGTTGTTCAAATGCAAAATGTATGCTCACACAGGGCAAGCACTTGCATGGTGGTCAGAAGAAGCAATACAAGGACACTCTCAAGGTCTCTTTTAAGAATTTTGGAATTGATTGTGTGCCATGGGAGACACTGGCACAGGACCTCTCAGAATGGCATGCCCACATCAGAAAAGATGCTGTGCTCTATGAGCAAAGTACAATTGAAATGGCGCAAGAGAAATGCAAGATACAAAAATTTAGAGAGTCTACCCCAAAGGTTCACATGGACTATTTGAGCCTGACCTGTGGTAGAACATTTGGAGCCTGTATTGGTCTGATCAGTTACAGTCGGATGCACTGTACCTTGACTCTAGCCCAGTGATGTCATTTTGGTCCTCTTTAAAAACTAAGGACAAGACCCAACCAGCTATGATTAAGCAAGTGACCTTACAATCTGCAGCTCGCAGCTCTGGGACCTGATATACAGAACTTGTAATCACTACTGCTATGGAATCATATCAAATTGATTAATACTGCTTGGAATAGAGTAGGGTTCCTCAATGAATCAACTTTTTCACTCCATAAAGTAACCTTTGGTAATTTGGTTGACATGACACTGAACAAATAAATTCATTTAGATGGTATTTCTATTTTCATTATGTTGGCTCAACATATCCGTGAGCAATGAATATTTCTGCGATGATTTAGATCCATTGACAGTATTTTTACAGAGCCATTGAACACTCTTACATTTATCCTTGCTACCTGCCGTTGCTTCCAGTACAATTCTTTTTAAAATTTTTTTAAAATTTAAATTTGAATACAAAAAGACAAAAAAAATTTCCACGTACACAGCACAGCAAAAAACAGTATTCGGTAGGAAAATATGAATCCTAATTTCACAGTTTACTTTTTCTGAAAGACTATGTAATCATGCATCATTTGCAAAACTACCCTGCTTTTGTGTGCTCCTTTCTGAGTTTTCTTTTGATCTCTGTCATGTACTTTTTTTTCTCCTTCCCTCCCCACCCCACATTAAAGAAGGCCACCATTAGACACAAATGTTCGATACATGTAAAATCATACTATACTTAATTCAATTTATCAGTTCTTTCTTTGGAGGTAGAAAGCATCTTCTTTTCACAGGTCCTTTACAGTTGGCTTGAGTGTTAATACTCAAAACGATTTAGTCACTCACGATTATTTTTCAAACAATATATCTGTTACTATATCCACTGTTCTCTTGGTTCTACTTATTTCATTCTTCATTATTTCATGCAAATCTCTCCATATTTTTCTAAAATCAACCTGCTCATCATTTCTTATAGCATATATATTCCATCACAACCATATACCACAATTTGTTCAGCCATTCTTCAATTGTTAGGCATTCCTTCAATTTTGAGTTATTTGGTACCATTAATGAGAGCTGCTCTAAATATTTTAGAACATATAACTTCTTTTCCTTTTCCCCTGGTCATCTTGGAAAACAGATCTAATAGTGGTATTACTGGGTCAAAGGGTATATGTAGTTTGTAGTCTTTGGGCATGATTCCAGATTGCTTTTCAAAATGGTTGGATCAGTTCATAGTTCCACCAATAGTGCATTAGTGTCCCAATTTTTCCACACCCCTTCCAACATTTGTCATTTTCCCCTCTTATGATTTTAGCCATTCTGGTAGGTGTGAGATGGTATCTGAAGGTTGTTTTAATTTGCATTTCTTTTTTTGCATGATGCCATATTGTGTTTATTTCTTTATCAAAAATTGCCCATTTATGTCCTTTGGCCATTTATTGAACATTAGAATTCTGAAATTATAATTAAGGTAGTCAGGAAGGCATTAGCTATTTTGCCTTGATAGTTGGAAACCCCTATCACTACTCTTCCTGGCTGGACTGGAGGGGGGGAAGAAAGAGAGAGAGAGAGAGAGAGAGAGAGAGAGAGAGAGAGAGAGAGAGAGAGAGAGAGAGAGAGAGAAGGGGGGAGAGAGAGTAAAGGATGTCTGTACAACAAAGTTGTAGAAGTTGGCTAGAGCCAAGTTATGGCTTAAATGCCAGAGGAAATTGATTTTAAAGGAAAAGAAGGAAATCAGAGTTTAATGAGTAAGGGAGTGACATGATCAGATTTGTGGAAAATCACTTTGGTAACTGTGTAGAAAGCATGGGTGGGATGAAAGACTCCAGGCAGAGTCCAAATAGAAATTTCTTGCAATAGTCCAGGTGAGAGCCTGACCTAGGCTTGTGGCTGGCTGGCTGGAGAGCAGAGGATATATAGGAAAGCTGCTGGGAAGGTAGAAGCAAGATTTCTAGACCGGTTGGATATGTGGGGAGAGAGTGAGGTGTCAAATATGATTTAGAGACAGTGAGCTTGGATGATTAGACAGGTAGTGATACCTTCTACATTAATAAGTAAATGTGGAAGAGGGGAGGGAAGGTTTGGGGGGAAAGATGAATTCTGTTTTGGACAGGTTAACTTTGAGATGCCTATGGGGCACCGACCTCAAAATATCCAAAAGTAATTGCTGATGTGGGACTGGAGCTCAGGAGAGAGACAAGGGCCATGAGGAGAACATATTCCCCAGCTTCTGTAAGTGAACACAACCCTGGAGCTGCCCTGCATTCCCCACACCCTTCCTAGCCAACGGGATCGCAGCATGACATGGCACAAAAGAGTCTTACTCTGTGAGTTCAGTGAGCTGGATTGCAGGCATGCCCATGACTGACTCTGTGACTGTGGGCAGGCCCTTTCCCCCTCTCTCATTTCCCAGTTTGGACAGTCACATTTCTAAAGCCCGGTAAGGTTTACCAAGTGTTTTCCTCTCAAGACTAGTGAGGTAGGTCCTGAATATCATCATCCTCATTGAATAGATGAGGAAACTGAAGTCTGGAGAGGGGAAGGGAAACAGAGTTGGCACTGAAATCCAGGTGCTCTGTCTCCCAGCCTGTGGGTCTTGCCCCTATGTATCCTGCTCTCTGAAGTGATCAAGCCCTCATCCTTCCTCAGCTAGATTCTCAACAGATTGGAATGGCTCATTCTCTTAGGCTTTCACCAAATACAGTCCCTCATCCTCACTGCCAGCATCACTGAGCTAGGATCACTTAATCTTTTCCCCCTCCACGCTTTCTTTCCATCCTTCATGGTCTGGTTCTCATGTTTTAGAGGCTTCTTGTCACTCCCTTCCTCTAGCTCCATCCTTGATCAGTGTGACAGACACCAGAGGGAAGAAGAAGAGAGGAGCAGAAAGTGCCCATCCCCCACAACCCCTCACCAGGTGTTCTTCCAGGTTCTTCTAGAAGACATTGAGCATCAGTTTAGCTGGCATTTCCCAAGCTTAAGCCAGCAATGAAGGAGGTCCTCCCTCCTCCTCTTCTCTCTGGTCCTTGTGCTCTAGTGTCCCTTTCTACCCTCCCCCAAAGGTCTCTGGTCCTGGAAAGAGACGGCCTCTTCTGACTCTCCACGGCCCAGACAGTGCAGAAACTACACCCATTCCCTAGACATGGCTTTTTATTGACTGATCCAGAGGATGAGAGAGGCTGGAAGGGAAAGAGGATGCCAAAAGGGATGGAAAATGACAGGGGAACTTGGGAGGGAAAGGGAGAGGCTAGATGGTCTCAGGAGATGCTGGGTTAGAGAGGAATGGGGCATCTATGGAGGACTGACAGGAGACTGGAAGGGAGGCTGATAGGCCAGAAGGGATGGAAAGGGATGGAAGACGTAGGGATGGAAGGGGAGAGGCCAAGAAAGAGAAGGACAAGCTGGAAGGGATAGGTGGAGGCTATCATAGCCTCAAATTTTTTTCTTAGATCTTGACCGAACAGAAGTCCTCTCTCCTGCACTCAACCTGGAGCTGACCATTGAGGGGACAGAAGTAGCAGATGTTGTGTATGTATAGAAAGATTCTGCAAGAAAAAGATCCAGGCCCAAAGGGTTAGCCTCCTAGTGTACCTCAGAGGGTACTGCTCCTGCCCCTGCCACTGGTTAGCCCACAATCCCTGTCTTTACCCCTGGCTAGCCCTTGCCCTCTTCCCCTGGATAACCCACAATCCCTGTCCTTACCACTGGCTAGCCCTTGCTTGCTGCCCCTGGCTAGCCCACAATCCCTGTCCCCATCCTTTCCTAATGCCTGCTCCCTGCCTCTGGCTAGCCTCTGAACCTTGTCCCCACTTCTAGCTAGGCTCTGCTCCCTACTCGTAGCCAGGCCTAGACCTCCCTTCAGTGCTCTAACCCTAACCCTCACCTTCAGTGATGAGATCAGTGAACTTCATCTTGATGAATATCCAGCAGCTCTTTAAGCGTGGCCAGAGGAAGCAGGAGAAGAGGTAGAAAAAGACAAAGCTCAAGGCAGCAAACAGGGTTACCTGGTGGAGGCAAGAGGGTAAGGAGGAGCCTGAGGACAGTGGGGCAGAGCAGGTAATGAAGGAAAGAAGCCCTGAGAACTACAAAGGAAATTGGGTGAAAGGCTGGGCATAAGGCAGGACTTCTAAAGGCTTGAGGAAAGAGGTGATGATGATGTAGGGGAGGGAAAGTGGAGGAGCTGTGCAAAATGAAGGGAGTGAAGGAATCAGCCATTTAGGGCTGGGGTGGGGGTGGAGAATGGGTGTGGAAAGGCTTGTCCATGGGATCATAGATTAGAGCTGAAAGGAACCTCATAAGACATCTAATTCAATCACTTAATTTTACAGATGTGGAAAATGAGGCCAGGAGAAGTCAGATAAATTGTCAGATAACTAGCAGAGCCAAGAATCAAATTTGGGTCCTCTAACTTGAGGGCCAGAGCTGGTCCCACCACACCAGATTGGGTAACATTGGGAATGGAGTTGTGGTTGGTGGGGGAGGGGTAGGAAAAAGAGAGGCTCACCCACAGGAAGAAGAGGGCCCTTTGAGGGCTGAGTGGGAGGCCATGGACATGGAGGAGGAAGGTGAGCTGATAATCGCAGTAGGAGCTCGTGTCCACATCCCTGGCCAGGACAGAGGGGCAGTGCAGTTTGTTCTTGGGTGGTGCTGGGCCTGAGAGGGAAACTAGAGGCTCTCCTATCTCCCTTCACCTCGCCCCACCTTCATTTTCCCATAGGACCTTACCTGTTGCTCACCATGATTTTGAAAAAGAATTCAGGAGAATAGAAAGAGTGGGGCACGACATCATGGCAAGGAGAGTTCTTCAGGCACAGCCACCTAGGGGGATTGTGGAGCTCTGGGGGACTGGGGAGACCCAAGGCACCCTTCCACCTCCAGTTCTCTATCCTTAAAGGTGGCCAGGAGCAGCCTGCAGATATTGGGGAGGCAGGGAGCTCCATCCCCTCCCTCAAGGGCTGGGAGCAAGCTGAAGATAAAGGGAGGCAGAGAGCTCCTTCCCTTTCCCCGAGAGATGGGAGCAGGCAGCAGATACCGGGCAGAGAAGGGATCTGGGAGCAGGGCCTTGCATACTCAATGCCAGTCTTGTTATGCTGCAGGATGCTAAAGGAATGGTGATCCATCCAGTTGTCCCTGACAGTCCAGATGAGGCTGTCAGTACTAGAGAGAGGAGAAGCCATGTTATACTTCTGGCTGGAGCCTCCTAAGCCAGCCATCTGGTGAACTTAGATCCTCCATGGGATGCTTGTGTGTGCATGCACATGTTTGTACACAGGCGTGCCCGAGGCCATGTCTCAGCTCATAGTAGGCACACTTGCTATTAACAAAAGCTTATTGAGCCCAGCATATGTGGCCTCTGACCTTCAGCTCTAAATCTTAGGCTTTACTTGTGCTTAGCCTGGAGAAGGTAAGACCCAGATGGGCCATGAGGACTGTCTTCAAGTAACTGTAGGGCTATCATGTGGGGAGAAGGGATTAGATGGACTCTGTTTGGCCCCAGAGGCCAAGAATGTTGCCATGAGACAAGGGCTGGATTTAGATAGTCAGAGGACCTGAGTCTGAATCCCAGCTCTGATACATATTAGATACATGAGCTTGGAGAAATTACTTAACCTTCCTAGTCCTCACAGTCCTCTTCTGCAAAAAGAGGGGGTTGGACCTTTAAGGGCCCTTTCAGCTCAGAATCTGTTCTGTGATCTTGTACATGAGGAGAGGTGGCATTGGGTTTTAGCCCAAAGGCAGGAAAACCTCTTAACCAGGAAAGGGGTTCCAGATGGAAGCAGGCTGCTTCTAGAGGTGGTGAGCACTGTCTTTTGGAGGTCTTCAAGCAAAGGTGAGAGGACCACTTATTAAGGAGGTCATAGAGGGGGTTGTTGGCCAGGTCTGTGTTGGCTAAACTGGTCCCTTCAAATCAGAGATCCTGTAATTAGTATCTGGGGACCCCCATGTCAATATATGTAGAGGTGTAAGTTTATCTTACGGCAGCTAGGTGGCACAGTGGCTAAATCACCAGGCCTGGAATCAGGAAGACCTGGGTTCAAATCAGACCTCAGACACTCACTAGTGTGAGACCCATGGCAAGTTACTTAACCCTGTTTACCTCAGTTTCCTCATCTGTAAAGCACACTGGAGAATGAAATGGCAAAGTACTCCATTATCTTTGCCAAGAAAACCCCAAATTGAGTCAGGACGGGTCAGACACTACTGAACCAACTGAACAAAAAAAGTTGATCCATCCATGCATGTGTCTGCCTGTCTGGGCCCACAAGTCTTACAAGTAAAAGGAGTTTAGGGAGAGAGTGGCTGGGGGAGGTTGATATGGACGAGGGACTCATGGAGCCCTATGGGCTTGGGGTCAGTAGTTACTTGTCTTTAGGACTGTTGTAGCGGTAGATGTCAGCCTCTGAGTAATCCACAATATTGTGCTTGGAAGTGCCTCCTCCAATCACCTTCAGGACATAGCTGCACCAGACACACAGGGACTTGGACAACAAGGTTCTAGCCAGGTGGGCCGTTCCCCACCCCCAGTTCTTCCCCACCTTGGAAAAGGGAGGGGTACTGTTGTCCTCACACAGCCCTCACAACACACACACACACACACACATACACACACACACACATACACAGAGTGAGTCAAGAGGCAGATCACCAGGAGGGGAGATCTACAGGAAAGAAAATGGTCTTGGGGGTTTTAAGGAAAGGCTTAGCCTGTCAGCAGTTGCTTGGGCAGGGGTTGTACTTCCCTAGGCTTCCCCAAAAGGCAGTCAGAACAGAGAAGGTAGGAGGCTCACCTGCCATTGAAGCTTCCTGACTCACCAGTCACCATGTCTTGGATCAGGAAGAAGGGAAAGAAAGCTGTGGGACGAAGGGACAAGGCTGAACTGGGGAAGAGGGTGGAGCCTTGGTGGGGCAGAGGGGTGGTACTGGACTGGGGGAAGGTCATGTGCTGGGTAGCTGGGCAGGGGCCCCTCTCTCACAATCACTGAATAAGAAGCAAGGCATTTCATCCTCTTTGTGCACACAGTCAAAGTATCTTTTATTGATCCTCCTGTTCTGCTCAACAGTCATGGTGAAGTCAAAAGCCAACCGCTTGCGAGGGGGACAGCCAATGTAAATTCGAATCATGTGAGTACCCTGTCCAGGGAAGTAGGGGGAGGGAAGAGAGAGAGGAAGAGGGAAGAGTTGAGGGTAAGAGAGAAACACCAAATTCAATCATTGCTCCCAATCCCCTACTGTCCTCTCTTGGCCAAGTCATGAGGAAGCAGGAACATGCCCTGCTCTTTCTCCCAGGGAACCCACAGAGTACCCTCTTGGCTGGGAGCAAACCCTCCTGGCTTGAGCAGAATCTAGCTAGGCTCTGCCTACTAATATGCAGAGCTGAAGGAGAAAGAAGGAAATGGATATGTGCCAGGACCTCTAAGATCCCTTCCTCCTCATTCTCTAGGATCTGAAGTTGAGAGAATGTTTTGTCTGAGGGATAAAAAAAGAACTTGAAACCACCCAAGGAGGAGGACCACTGCATCCTTTTTGCCATTCCCACATGAGAGGTGGGGCTTGGAAGTGGTGGGAGTGGGTCAGTTTTCAGTGAGCAAGAGAATGAACTCTTCACCTTCCCTCATCTAGGGAAGACCAGAGCCCAGCCTGGAGAGTGTCCCCCTCCCTTAAGAGTCTGTGTGGTCTCTCCTTGGTTACCTGCATCAGATGTCCATACCGGGTTCTAACAAAGCACTTCCCAACTGAGCCAACCACCTGTAGAGAGGACTGCTCAGTGCTAGGCAGCCGCCTACCCCCACCCCATTTCTTTTACTGCCATCCCAGGCCCAAGGGGTCTTTTGCTCCTTGTTGTCAACTAGAGACTTCCCTCTGTTAACTCGGTCATTTGTGAGCCACCTTCCCACCCAGAAGACAGAGGGGTGATCCCTTTCCTCTGTTCTTCCCTATCTCCCACCTTGATGTGTAAGGCTGTTTTCCTCAGGTTATGTCCACTGATACTTTGTTTGAAGCATTGGCTTTTGTCCTTGACAGACACCTGGTCAGGTTGAAGGGAAGGTGCTAAGGGCTTGGGGTCCTGGAGAGCTCCTCCCTATCTCCCCCTCAATCCTCTTCGGGAGAGGGAAAGAGAGGAGAGATGGGCTCCAAGGCCCATCATGGCTATGTTACTCAGTCACAATCATTCTGTGAGTGTGATTGTGTGCCTTTGTATGTGTCTTTGGCAACTATCCTCCATAGATTGTAAACTTCATGAGAGAAGAAAAATAAATATGTTGTTGTTTGACTTTGTATCCCAGGTCTAGTACAGCGTCTGGTATATAAAGGCACCTAATCAGTGCTTTTGGTGTTGAATGGTGAGTTGAAGCACTCTGGCTAAAAATCCTTGGGGCCTGGAACTAAGACCTTCCGTGGTCTGGAACCTAGACCATTTCTTTGGTCTTTCTCAATCCCAGTTTCCTCATCTAGTGCCAAGGGTGTTAATTCCTCCTTGGCCAAGAATCCAGGTGAATTGGACTGTAGCTAGAAGACACACACATAAACACAGCAACATACACATGCAAGTGCACATGGCCTGCCCGTCTCACCTGGAAGAGCATGGCATTTCGGTTCACTAAAGCCTGCTCCTTCACTGTTGCTGACACACACATAGGATCAGCCATTATCACAGCCAGACGCAAATGCCTCTTTTGTTTCCCAATGGTGTCTGCAAGAGGGGAAGAGGGAGGCAAGGGTGGGCCAGCAGCTCAGAGACCCTCCTCCCAGCCACCTGCCTGGCTGATCCATCATCTTCCCCCAAACCATTTCCATTCCACCAGCCTTTGGGGTCCCCATTGGCCCATTCGCTTTTACAGGAAATTTTCGGAGAGACAAGGTAAATGGAGAAGCTGTAGGTGGCCCCCTTGTCCAGGTAGATGTATTCAGGCAGGCGATTCTGAGCATTCAATTTATAAAGCTTTTCATAGCCATCCATTTCAATGTGCACGCCATACATACTCTCAAAGTTACTGGCTTTATAGAAAAAGAAATCCTGCCAAGACCAGGGAGGGATTGGTTAGGCTCTGGATACCTCCTGAAGATCCCATCAGCCCCCATAGCTCCAAGCATCCCAGAATCTCAAGAGCTTGAAAGGAACTTACAGACCCAAAGAGGAATCCCCCTCCAAGGTATCTCCTCTCTCTACTGCCCCATCCCAACCTCACCCAGATTTTCTCAGCTCTTCTACTGGAAAGCCCTGATAGTTAGAGAGTTTTCCCTAAATCTGCCTCTCTTCATCTTCCCTACCTCTCCTCCCTTTTCCTCCCAACTATTCCCAGTTTTGCTCTGTAAGGCAAAGCAGAATAAGTTGAATCCCTCTTTTCATACAACAGCCATCTCAACCTGATATCCTGCTGTTCTGTCTCCAGCTAAGTCTTCTCTTGTCTAGGCTAAGTATGGCCAGTTCCTTCAACAGATTCTCCTGCAATATGACCTCCAGTGCCCTCATCATCCATCATGCCCTCCTCTACACTATGGTAGTTTGTCAATGGCCTTATGGAAATGTGGCATCCAGCACCAAACACAACTGTCCAGGTGCAATTTTACCAGTGCCAAGTATAAGAAGACTCCCTATCACCTCCCTACCTCTCTCTTAATGGAGCAAAGATGACATTGGCATTCTTCTCTCTCACATCAAAAGATGAATTCCTATTGAGCTAGCAATCCACTAAGACTCTGAGACATTTTTTCCTGTGTGTAGTCACACCTTCCCCAGCTTGAACTTGGGGTATTGATTTTCTGAACCCAAGTGTTCAGACTTTACATTTATTCTCTCCTGAATTTGATCATATCAGATTCAGCCCTGTGCTCTTGCTGCCCCAGATCCTTTTCGTTCTAGACTCTGTCATCCAGTGTGTAAACTATCTCTCCTTTCTGTCCCCTTCGGATTCAATGAGCATATTTTGCTATGATCCAAATTATTAATACAAATATTAACTAGCACAGAGCCAAGTACAGATCCTTAGGCACTCCCCTAAAGACCTTCTGATGCCACACCAGCATCAAAGCATTAATGACTTTGCTTTTCAGGTCTGTTGTGCAATGAATTAGTTGTCGCTCTGGGCAATGGTGTTACTGCTGCCATGTCCCAGAGTCCCAGGGCCAGTGGTATGCTAGTAGATGGTTTAACAACTGGATCTTCAGTAGTAGTGCTTGCTGATTTCCAAGGTATAAATGCTCATCCTGAAAATTTAACAATCAGCTCTCCTGCAACATACTGCTGGGAACCCTCTGGTCCCAATCCCACAATCCCTGCCCATACATTCCGTAACTCCCCTCCTATGCCCCTGCAGAAGAAAGGCCAGAGTAGGAGAAATGAGGCTGGGGAACTACTCCTGAACATCCCTTTCACCTTATGTTTCTTCTTGTCCTTCCACCAACGCCAGGTGGGGTCATGGACAGGATCAGCATAGGCCTAGAAAGGCAACAGAGAAGGTACAGGCAGGTACCGGGGAAGGAAACTCCTTGAGTTCTCCAATGATCCTCCCCATTACTTTGGACTACCCCTCCTGGATATACCCACACATACCTTATTATACTTGGAGTGCAGCCAGAGCAGGTGGTAGACAAGGCCCTGGTAAATGGCCAAAGAGACTTTGGTGTGGAAGCCAGCGTCAGAGCTCACAAAAGGTGGCAGTGCACGATAGCGCTCCACTCGTGTGTATCTTTGTGGGTTCGGCAGGTCCCTCAGCTGCAACACCTCAAAAGGGCAGGGGTTATTGTAGGAGAGGGTCTCTAGAGGTCTAGGAAGGACAGGGAGGGAAAGAGATTGGATAGGACCCCTATCCCAAGCTCCTTCCATCCACATGTCATCTATCATCCATCCATCTAACTGTTCACCCATTTATCTAACCATTCTCTCCATATATCTGAATGTTAAATGTCTATCCATTTATCTATCCATTTATCTTTCCATCCATCTATTCACCCATCCAGCACCATATTAACCATCTATCCATTAATACCTTCATATATTTATTCAGCAAATACTTGGTAAAATAAAAGTGGTGATATAACACAGACCCTATTCCAAAGAACTTCTAGCATAAGAACAAGGGGGATGAAAGAAACAACTATGAAACAAGATAAGAAGATCATTGTGAAGGAAGGTCTAGGCAAAGCATGAGAATAAATGGGGATGGGAAACAGTACTTTCATATAGTGGAGTCCCAGAAGCCTTTATGGAGAAGATGGCACCTCAGCTATACATTCAAGGGCTCCTCAAGGTGACTTTGCAGGGGAGGGGCCCTCAGGGATTCTGGGCTCTAGCAACCTTTCCTTTATCCCCACCCCACCCCAACCACTCTGTCATTTCTGATGGGCAGTTGGGTTCAGGCTCACTCACAGTTCAGTACTGATCTTATAGGTTGTGAGACTCAGCAGCTGATACACCAAGATTTGACTCACTGGCAGCGGCCTTGTCACCAGCTTCCCTTCCCCTTTCTTATTAATCAGGTAGACTAGCTGTGGAGGAAGGAGTTTAAAAGGAGGAGAGGGAGGGTCATTTCAGCCCTGTGTAGAAGGATTCCTTCTTGGGTGGCTAGGCCAGCTTGGGCGGTCTGCACGTTCTTTAAAGCTCACCTGCTGTGGACCCATGTTGTCATAGAAGATACTGACTGAGGTCTCGTTGGTTGAATATAGGCTTGAGGCCTGCATCTGGGAAAGGGTGAAAAGCATCTGCCAGCCATCTGATGGGTACAGACGATGCACCTTGAAGCTGCCTTCAACAATGAACCAGATCTGGGGGCCAAGAGCCCAGAAAGGACAAGGAGGGAGAAAGTGAGAAGGAACAGGAGCTTGAGGGCCCAGGCTGGGATCAGCTGCGGCGCTGGGAAGGAGGGTGCCCAGGGTGAGGGGAGTAGGAGCATTCAGGGCTATGCAAGGGAAGAGGAGCCCCCAGCGAAGGGCCTTGAGTTTAGGAAGGGGCAGAGAATAGGGAGGCAGAATCCGTGGAGTGGTCAGGCCAACCTCCTGTTCCTCACCTCCTCATTCTCAGTGACGCAGATCACTTCGCCTTTGTAGGAGCTGGCCATGTACTTTACTGAGGACTCCTTGGGGAAATCATCCAGGTAAATGTAATTCTTATTGTCATAGCTGTGGGGGAAGGAGAGTGGAACTCAGGCTTGGTCAAGTATATCTGGGGAGAGGACCCCAAACAGCTCAGCCTCTCTCTACTTGCCCCCATGCAACCCCCTCCCTGCCCTTTATATCTCCAGCTCCCCAGGCTAAAGATTCAAGGAATCCAGGGTCTAATGTCCCTACTGGACAGATGGAGAAATATAGGGCTGGAAACATACAATGAGTCAGAGTGCTTGAACTTGAACTCAGGGCTCCTTTTGCTCTAGCCCACAGTCTCAGGGCACCTGCTGCCAGCATCTAGACTTAGTATTACATTTACAGACACTTAGAGATATCACCTCATTTTATATCCTCACAACCATCCGAGGAGGCAGGTGCTATTGTTCCCATCTTACAGATGAGGAAACTGAGGCTGAGGAACTTGCTGTGGGTTACACAGCTATTGAGTGTTTAAGGCTGGATTGGAACTCAGGTCTTCCTTACTGCAGGCCCACCACTCCATCCACTACCACCATCTCAATGTCTAGTCACTTAGATGACTTAGTCCACTGTGGGTGAAAGGAGGGCCGTAGCCGATTCCCAAAGGGAGCATGAGGGTAGAGGAAGAGGCTTCTGGTCCCCCAAAGCTCAGGTGGTCCCAGGTGTGCACATGGCTACTGGCCTGGATGCCCTTCCCCCACCTAGTTTCCATTTTCACCCTCACCTCTGCAGAATAGCATTGCCCCAAATGTATAGCAGGTTGGAGAAAGGGTTGTAGTGGAGACCCTTGGGGACCAGCAGGGAATCTGTGTACTCCTCCATGCCCAGAAGCATCACAAAACTTGCCTTCTTCCCTGCCCAGGGATCCAGCGTTGCTGTAGTGAATTCCCCCAGGTAACAGCCCCCTCCCCTCACCAGCATCTCAACCCCACCCACTCCCTAGCCCCCAGCACTCCAGCCCGTGACCTTCTAGTCCAAACCGCCTCTCTTTCCCTCCCCAGATTTCCCCAGGTTTCTAGTCTTTTCATCCCCCTCAGTCTTTCAGGTCCCTCCACTTACCCTCGGGGATGAAACGAGGAATTTTATAGAGCAACTGGACTGAGTCATGGTGGTAGTCATTAGAAACCAGTACATACTGCACAATACTGAATGTTGTGTGGCCCTCTTTGCCCAGCTCCATGAGAAGCAGGAAAATGTCCTCGTGTACGTCGTATATCACCCAGTGAAGACTGCACTTTGGGTCTGCAGTGACGTGGCCAAGGTTATCTGCCTGATGCTGTCCACTGGAGGCCATTGACAACTCCCAGGAAAGACCCAGAGCCCCCTTTGTGCACTGACAGCTTCCCAAATAGCCTCTGCCCATTACTCCTCCCCAGGCTGCAAGCATTCCAGAGAGCTCAGGACCTTCCCAGGTGTGATGGCCTTCCCAGACCCCTAAACTCCCTGAGGTTCAGAAATTAGAAAGGACCTTAGAAGTCACTGAGTCCAACATCCTCCTCTTACAGATGAGGGAGCTGAAGCCCGAGGAGGGGGGAAGTGCCTTTCTCAAGGTCACAAAGCTGGTCAGCGGCAGATACAAGACTGACCAAATCCAGTACTCTCTTTCCACTACTCAATGCTGCCTTGCTAGCCCTAGGCTTCAACACCACCCCTGGGCAGGACTCCTCCTCCTCCTCTTCCTCCTCCTCCTCCTCCTCCTCCTCCAACAAACCCATTTGGGGAGATGGGTGGGATGGGTAGCTTCCTGTTCTAGGCTGTCCCAATCAAACACCAAACCTTGGAAAGTAGCACATATGGAGCTCGAGAGAGGCAACTGCTTAAAAGTCACTGTGGCATCTGGAGGAGGAAGAAGGGCATGAGGAGAGGGGTCAGCCCTAGGACTAAAGCAGAGCAGCTTCCCTCTCACTCCCAGGCCTTAAGAGTGGTCCAGGATGAGCAGCCTCTAATCCCAGAGAGAGGGAATCCATAAGCATACCAAACCCAAAATGAGGTTGGGCACAGAGAGCCAGGAGGACTTCTCAGAAGGATGTGACGGCCCTGGTCCCTGATCTCAGACTAGTGTTTTCCGTTTCCTCTTTGGGTGTCACTGCTGAACCCCAGGCCCCCAGCCTTTCACACTTCTCGTACTGAGTCCCCCATTACTGTCCCCATGCAGTGGGATCTAACCCCAGTCCTTTTCAAGGAGTGGATTTAGTGACCAGCATGGCACTGCCCCCAGATCTTAGCACCCAGTTAGGTGGGAGCCAGGGGAAGAAGAAAGCTCATACCCCTGTGTCAGCCATCAGCACCAGAATCAAGACAAGATTATATAATGGCCTAGCATTCTTGGGACAAAAAAATAAGTTAAAAAAATTTGACGCCTCTCTGCTTTGCGTGCCCTGGGCAAGCACCCCAACTATCTTGTCCTTGTTAAAGCTCTGTGCAACATTACCAACAAACTTGGGGACTGAATGAGGAAGCCTCCTTGCTCTACAACCCATTGATAGGATGTAAGATCCTCAAGGACAGGGGCTGTTTTGCTTTGTTTCTTTGTATCCCCAGCACCTATCCACCTATAGCAGTGGTAGGCCCACAGCAGGCACTTAATAGATGCTTGTGGGTCGACTGAGTGAGGCGTCACCTACAATATACTGTCATGGAAGGAAAGCAGCAATCAGTCAGTCAATCTACAAGCACTTACTAAGCACTGAAAATCTGTCAGGCTATATGCTAGGTGCTAGTGATATGAAGACAAAGAATGGAGCAATCCCTGCCCTCAAGGAGCTTATATTCTACTGAGGGAAAAATCACATGCCCACACATGTGTATGTTGTCCAGTCATTTCACTGGTGCGCCTGTCTCTTCCTGGTCCCATTTGGGGTTTTCTTGGCAAAGATACCAGAGTAGTTTGCCATTTGCTTCTCCAACTCATTTTACAGATGAGGAAACTGAGGCAGACAGGGTGAAGTGCCTTGCCCAGGCTCACACAGCTAGGAAGTCTCAGAGGCCAGATTGAAACTCTGGTCTTTGTGACTCCAGGCCCGTCTCTATCCACCTAGCTGTCCCTTTATGATATAAAGGTAACGCACAGAATAAATAGAGCATGATTTCAAACAACTGCAAACACTGATCCACTCTCCAGAAGTTGCCGGATCCCTGGCTGTCAAGGCCTTGTTTGAGCCATGGAATGCTATAACCACCACCTTTTCCCTGCTGCTTCAACTTCTTCTTCCCTAAACAAACTGCCCCTTGTTGTAGGACCCTTGAGGAAAGGAGGAAGACTCAGTCAAAAGCTCTCCTCTGTATCCTATGGCAAGCTACTCCCAACTCCTGCTCTCTTAGCCTTGGGACTCACAATCTCCCTTCACACTTTGCTAACTTTCTTGGGCAGGGAAATTTACTCTTTTCTCCAGCTGTCATCTTTCAAAGTTTAAATCTGAACCCAGCCAGTAGCTGTGAGTCCCTGAGTAAATAATGTCACCATCTTTGCCTCAGTTTCCTCCTCTGTAAAACGAGCTGGAGAAGGAAATGGCAAACTACTCCAGTATCTCTGGCAAGAAGACCCCAAATGGGATCATCAAGAGACTGACACCACAGAAAAAAACAACCCCTATTTCTCCCCATCCACCTCAGCCTTCCCAACACACCACTGAACAATGCTAGTATAAGTTTCACTGCTGTACAAATTGGGTCCTCTACCAACTTCTGCCATTTAATCTAAAGAGGTCTTCAATGCTGCATGGAAATGCTTTCATTCTTCCTTGGTTTGTTCTCTGTCCAACTTCTCACAGCACCTATTTCAAGCCTTCTCTTCTCTCCAAAAGCCCCCTCCAGAACTACCTTTTCCCTTTAAGTCAGAGGTTGTCTTCAGTAAATTTATTTTATTTCATTGTTTGTTTTTTTGGCTAGGCAATGGGGTTAAATGACTTGCCGAGGGTCACACAGCTAGTAAGTGTTATGTGTCTGAGGCCGGATTTGAACTCAGATCCTCCTGACTCCAGGGCTGGTGCTCTATCTACTGCACCACCTAGTTGCCCCATCTTCGGTAAATTTAATAAAGGCAGACTGAGGTACATGACTCTGAGCAAAATCACTTTATTAAAAGTGACACATAGAACTGTTAACCAAACAAGTCAGACTGGTCACCTCAGTAAAGCCAGCAACCCCAGTAAGAAGGCAAGGACCAGCTCTTTATTGACACAAGAAAGAAGGAGTCTCGGTAGCCATGGAATGTTATAATTGGTTGTACCAAGAAAAGTGGGCTGGCATTCAGGTGAGATTCATCATGCCTCTCTCTGACAATTCAGGAATGTTAATTAACTTATGGGACCCATCTGCAACTTGAAATATCTGCTAGGGGATGAAAACAACTGCCTCCTTGGAAAAGATTAAAATGTCCCCTAATTTCACAAAGACAGGCAAGGACAGATGACAAATGTCCTGGAAGTATCCCTGTATCAGAGATATCAACTTTTCTCTTAATTCTACTTTTAACTTACTCAGAGGGAAGCAAATTTCCTGAGCTCAACTCAAGGATATAACAAGGTGGCTTCAGGAAGATGCAGACTCAATTATAAAATACAGCATAAAATTAATTACATTGTAGAATCAATACAGTAGAAACTCAAGGTAATAGTAATTTTGACCTTTTCATGGTTCTGTACATGAGAACTGTGAAATTGTTTTTAAAAAATATTTTTTAACTGTATTTCAATCTACTTGGTTTCCTTTATCATTCTATGTATTTTATTTTATGCATTTAAAAACATGATTCTCCCTTCTCAAAGGGGTCCATGAGCATCACCAGGCTGCCAAAAGGGGGTCCATGACATACAAAAAGGTTAAGATCCCTTGGTCTAATCTCCAGAGGCCTTGGGATGGAAAACGCTGTCCACATCCAAAGAAAAAACTATGGAAGTCAAATTGCTATCACTTATTTTTACCTTCTGTTGAGTTTTATTTCATCTTTCTGATGGTTCCTCCTATTGGTTTTAATTTTTACTTACAACTTCACTATTGTGAAAATATGTTTAATGGGTATGTAAATGTAGAGCCTATATCAAATTGTGCGCCATCTTGGGGAGGGTGGGGGGGAGGAAGGGGGAGAAAAATTTTCAACTCAAAAGCATGTGGAAGTGATTGTTGATAAATCAAAATAAATTAATAAAATTTTTTAAAAAAATTTTTAATTAAAAAAAAAGAACCCTTGGTCTCAGCAGAAGACATTCTTTCTTCTTTAATGAGAATATACAGGACATCTCACTGTGAGTACCCTTCCCTGCCCTTCTCATATTATTCCTCTACCTCCTCCTTTACTCATCTTAGAGGAAGACATGGCCTTACTCTTTACCCACAGCAGTCCCTCTGCTTGTGCTGTTTATCCTGTTTCCTCCAGAAGCCTGTACCACTGAGCATTACCTCTCACATATTCAGTCTCTCTTTACCTATTAACTCCTTCCACGTTGCCTCAAACATGCCAAAAGTCCCTTTCATCCTTAAAAAACCTGCACTAGACTCAGACATCACCTGAAACCATCATCCTTCGTTTCTCTTCCTTTTCACAGCAATCTCTTTAAAAAGCCATCAATGTGCATTGCCTTCATCTCTTTATTTTCCACTGATTTTTCGTTCTCAGCAACCTGCCTTCCTGTTTTGTAGCTCACCTACAGCTGCTCTCTTCAGGGGTACCGCAGTATCTGAAATACTAAATACAAAGGTTTTTCCTCAGTCCTCAGCCTTCCTGACCTCTGTGAAGCCTCTGACATGACTGGCCACCCTCTTCCTGAACACTCTCACTTCTTTCAGTTATTGCGTCACTATTCTCTCTCGGATTTCCTTTAGTTTGTCCACCCTTTCCGTCCACATCACGCCCACTAACTGTGGGTGTACTCAACAGAGCTGTCCAAGGTCCTGTTCTTTTGTCCTTCTATACTATCTCAAACATCTCTGTATCTGCTGAGGTAATCATGTGCTTTTTGTTGCTTCTGTTCTTGATTTCATCAAATTACGCTTATAGTTATTCTAATACCGAACAAGACCTGCATTCCTGGTGTAAGTGCAACCTCATTATAGTGTATGATCTTTGTGATATATTACTTTACTTTCTTTGCTAGTATTTTCTTTAAAATTTTTGCATCAGTATTCATTAGGGAAATTGCTCTATAGTTTTCTTTCTGTTTTTGCTCTCCCTGGTCTAGAGATCAGAACCATATTTGTGACACAGAAGAAATTTGGTAAGACTGTTTGTTGCCTATTTGTTCAAACAGGTTATATAGTATTAGAATTGTTCTTTAAAGTTGGATAGAATCCACTTGTACTTATATCTGGTCTGGGGTTTCTTTTCCCTTAGGGAGCTCATTTATGGCTAGTTCAATAAAGTTATTTCCTTTTCTGTCAATGTGGGCTATATATATATATATATATATGTGTGTGTGTACATATTTGTCCATTTCATTTAGATAATCAGTTTTATTGGCATATAATTGGGCAAAATAGCACCTAATCATTGATTTAATTTCATTTTTATTAGTTGTGCATGTACCCTTTTTTTTTATTCTTGATGCTGGTAATTTGGTATTTTTTCAAAAATCAAATTAATCAGTGGTTTATCTTTTTTTCTCATAAAACTAGCTCCTTGAGGGCAGCTAAGTGGCACAGTGAATACAGTACTGGCCCTGGAGTCAGGAGAACCTGAGTTTCAATCTTGCCTCAGATCAGGCACTTGACAAATACTAGCTGTGTGACCCTCGGCGAGTCACTCAACCCCAATTGCCTTGCCAAAAAAAACCCCCCAAAACCAAAAAACAACACACACACAAAACAAACAAATTAAACAACTAGCTCCTAGTTTTATTTATTAGTTCAGTGGACTGGGTTTTTTTTTTACTTTTAATTTTATTAATCTCTTCTTTGATTTTCAGGCTTACCTTTGTGTTGTTTAATTAGGGATTTTTAATCTGTTTTTCTAGTGCTTTTTTTTTAAAGTTGCAAGCCCAATCCATCAATCTACTCTTTCTCTCTTTTATTAATGTAAGCATTCAGATAAAAAAATTTTCCTAAATATTGCTTTGACTGTATCCTACAAATTTTGCAATGTGGTTTCATTGTTCCCATTATCTTTAATGAATTTATTGTTTCTATGACTTGTTCCTTGACCCACTCATTCTTTCAGGGTAGATTATTTATTTTCAAATCTATTTTTAACCTATGCCTCCAAGGCCCTTTATGGAAGTAATTTTTATTGCATTGCACAGTGGGAGTCTGAACCTTGGAAGGTGATGTAATATAAACTACGGCGAATGAATGTAAATAGGAACTGAAGTTGTGACTACCTCAAGGGAATAAACACTTGCACATACTGCTGGGCCATCCCTTGCTACTTTTGCCTTCTTCATTCTCATACGATGCCTGACGTGGCCTAAGAGTGGTGCAGGGATGTGCTATTCAGTCTTCATGCTGCCAAAGACCAGTGCTGTGAGTAAATTCCACCAATACAATCTAATAAATCTACACATATTTTCCCCATGCTAGCGTAGAGTAACCTTATTTCTCTGGTATATCACTATTCTTTCAGAGGGTCTACCACCCTACATTTGGCATAATCAGAGCAGACTGTTTGTTTGAACAGATCTTGTGTCCATACAATTGACATAGTCAGTAGGACAGTCTGCCCTCATCCCTGCTACAGATCTTGTGTCCTTACATTCCTTATGGTCTCAAAAGGGTGTATTTAATATTTCTGCCTTTCTAAATTTGTTTCTGGGAGTTTTATACCCTAATAAATGGTCAATTTTTGTTAAGGTGCCATGTGCACCTGAAAAAAAAAAGGTATATTCTTTTCTATCCCATTCAATATTTCCCAGAGGTCTGTCATATCTAACTTTTCTAAAATTCTATTCATCATAACTTTAAAAAAAATTTTGTGGTCAGGTTCATCTAGGTCTATGAGAGGTAAATTGGGGTCCCCAACTAGTATCTTTTTGCTGTCTCTTTCCTCCTATAATTGATTTGACTTTTCTTTTAAAAATTTGGATGAAAAGCTATGGCATATATGCCATGCATATGTGTTCAGCATTAATATTAATTCATTGTTACCTATTAACAATGATACCTTTTAGAATGGTGCCTTTGCACAAAAGATAGTTTTCCTGATTATGTCTTTTAGTTAGGTTTTTATGTTTAATTACGTATTTGTGGTTTTGCTTCATCTGAGTTCATGATTGTTACCCCTGCTTTTTTTTTTTTACTTCAGCTGAAGCATAATAGACTCTGTTCCAACTCTCATCTAAACTCTTTGGGTGTCTTTCTGTTTCAAGTGTATCTCTTGTAAACAACATATTGTGAGGTTCTTGACATGTCTCAGCTGGAAGGGACTTCAGAGGTCATGCAGTCCAACCCGTTCATTTTACAAATGAGGAAACTGAGGCCCCAGAGAGAGGCTTGTTCAAGGTCACACAGAAGTGATACATTGAACATTCAAAGCAGGTTAAAACATTAGAAAGACCAGGTACATCAATTGATGCAAAAATTATTTTTTATGTTTTGCTACATTCCCTTCTATCTGTAACAAATGCATTTTAAATACAAATAATTCTAAGTGTATGTTATAATTTTACTCTGAATTGCATTTTTCACCCTACTGTCTTGCTTTGCTTTTTGTCTTATGGATTAAAAAAAAAATCCACTGCACCCATTGAGGCAGCTTGGTCCTTGGAGACACCCTTCAATTCCCATCCTTCTTAATAACTACTTGTTTGAATAAATCACCACCCCACAAGTGTAGAGGCTGGGCATCCCTGTTCAGAGACAGGAAGCTGAGGAAGGCTACCTTTGATGGTCCCAAGGTAGAAGAAGCCCTCCTCATTGCCCCCAGCCAAGGCCAAGATGTGTTCAGAGCCATTGCCGTGTAGTTCCACAGGACAAAGTTTCTTGATACACCGTTTATGCAAGACTTGGATCCAATTTCCTGGTGAGAGGGAGGGCCTTTCTCAGGGCTGGGAGTCTCCCCCCTCCCTCCTTCAAGTCTAGCACCCCCTTATTCTTCCCATGGGAAACTGAGTCCCAGAACTTCTCAGAATCATCTGAGAATGGCTTAGCTTCCTTTCAGGAAGGCTCCATCAGCTCCCCAAGATTACTATTTAACCAACAACCAGCCCCCACACACAGACCTGGTTCTGCTCCTCTCTCATGTTGTATAGGATAGTTTTCTCTGCCTGGGTCATGACCCTGCTATGGGCTCTAAGACAAAGGAAGGAACTTGGCCTTGTGTAAACTGTGGGCAAGGGGGAAGAATTCCCTGATCAGTCTGATGAGCTCCTCTAATAATTGGATGAGCTTACAGGAGGAGAGGCAAGCCTTTGGAGAGAGTGTCTCTCCTCATGGAGAGAGTGAGCAAGCCCACTGGCAATCCCCTGTCTTTTCCGTAAGGTGCCCATAGACATGCCAACTCTCTCCCTGGAAGGACACCTATCAGACTTCCCAAAGGTTTACTCCTGTAAACCAATCAAACTGGTCCTCAAACTCTCTGAATCATTCTTCCCTTCATCACCCCAGCTGGCTCTTCCTCAGCATCTGGTTCAAGGCTCTGCATTCTATGGTCTCTTAGATCATCATTCTCCTTTGTGGGGAAGTCAGACCCCAGAATCAGAGAAGCCAGTCTGACCAGAGTGGGGAGGGGGAGAGGCTAGATATAGGAGGGAGGGCCCAATCCCTACTCTCACAGCTCTTCCCATCCCCAGCTTCTCACTGGTTGCTTTTTGAGGAAAGTGGGAGTAGTTGCCAGTGAAATAGTAGACAAGTTGGTTCTGTCGGATGAAGAGGACACTTTCAGTGGAGATGGTGTCAAAGATGGAGGCCGTGAAGTGCTCCTGAGGGCATTGAAGAGAGCCCAGCCAGCAGCTATCGATGTTCAGCTGAGACAACCAGGGCATGAATGGAGATACATAGGATCGAGGACAGGAAGAAGACTTAGCGGTCATATAAGCCACCACAGCCCCCTCCTTTGTAAAGATACTGAGGTCTCAAAGAGGTCAGAATGAATAGACTTGGCCAAGGGACTTGGCAACTAAGAGGCAAAATGGAGGCTGGAACCCAGCTCCCTCCCCACTTCTCCCCCACAATCCCTACCACACACCATGCCATGATGCCTCATTGGCAGAGGGATGAGGCCACGTGCCCCTTGGCTTAGGTGAGGTCTTGCGACACCCCACTCCTGGGCATCAGTATCTCCTTCCCTCCCTCCCTTCCCAAGTCTAGAGAATGTCCACTCTTGCCCACCCTCCATCCCCACAGTCAGCTGCCACTCAGCCTCCCTCACCTCCACCAGGGAGATTTCCCTGAAGCTGGAGTCAGAGATGAGAATCATCTTCTCCTCTGGAATACCCCCAAGGATGAGCACAGGAGCCTGGTCCACTGTAGCCCAGACAGGCCTAGATGGTGCATTGATGAAGTGCCTGTGGGTCATGGCCATAACCTAAGGGGAGAGGTCCAAGGGACACAATGGGAGAAGAAAGGAAGAGATGCTGGCTTCCCCCATCTTAGCCAGGAGGCTCAGTTAAGAGGATCAGCTTCCCCCTACCCCCTGCCCTTCAGCCTTTCCCCCATCCCCTCCCCTACTTGTTCTCACCTCACTTCCCAGGGTAAAGATCAGTTTGTCCTTGTCTTTTTTCAGAAACCCATTGATATTTATCATGTACCTGCAGAGGGAGGGGGAATAGCCTTCTAGTCTCCTGCCAGACCCAATGGAGACTTCTCACCCCTCACTCTAACTTGATGCCCAAACACTGCACCTCTCAGGCCTCAGGTCCCTGGCCCTGAACAGGAGGCAACCTGGTGCAGTGACAAGAACACTGAGTTTGAAGTCAGAGGACCTGGGCTGAAATCCTGCCTTTGACACCTGGGACCTCTGTGACCTTAGATACTGCCACCTTGGCTCTGCCCCTCTATGGTATCTCAGTTGGTGAGCTCTCATTGGTTGCCATGGGTTCAATCACCATTTCTATGAATATGCCTCCCAGAACTAAGCCCCTCCCCAGGCCTCAGTTTTCTCATCTGTAAAATGAAGGGGTTGGACTCCATGGCCTCTGAGCTTTCCCAAATGAAGTATTCTATAATCTATGATCCTTCTCTTTTAATCCAACTCAGTTCAACAAACATTTATTGCTCACCTACCATGTGCTAAACCCTCAAAGAGCTTATATTTTATTCATCTTGTACTTAGCCTCTGTGGGCCTCAGTTTCTTCATCTCTAAAATGGGGGTGGGGATAGTAGATTGGTCTAGGACCTAGACTCTGGGTAATCTCTTAGGTCATTTTTCGTTAAGAGACTCTGCTTGCTTACCTACTTAGCCTAGCCCTCTGTCTATAAACCAGATCCTGGCTCTGCTGTCAATGAGGTGAGCTGTGCCTTCCGCCATTCCCTGCTCCCCACAAAGATGCCTGGGGCTCTACCCACCTGGCATCACCAATGAGCTCTCCATGGTTGTTGCTGGAGATTTCAACTTCCATCACTACACTGCCATTTTTCATGGGCATCGGAGTGTACCAACTCGGGATACATATGTCCTCTTTACCACAACTCTCTGCTTGGTGGGGAATGAAATGAGGTGGGCACAGGCCTGCAGGCCACCTTCACCCAGCCAGCACTGCCTCACCTCTTCTCCTTTACCAGAACCCTACCAAGGGACTGGGACTTTGACCCAGGGTACCAGACCTCAGGGTGGGCTATGCTTTCTCTCTCTCTCCTAAAAAAGATGGGAGTCCCCAGGGGTCATTAGCTTGGTCTAACAGGCCAGGCTTTCTGAGGGATGGGCCACTCTACCCTACTCAAACACAAGTGTAAAAAGTGGGCAAAGGTGAAAGCCCAAGGTGACCAGCTAGTGTGGGGATTCCAAGGTCTTTGTGACCTGCAGATGAACTCTTGACTAGGCAGCAGGGGCCTCTGGGTGCCCCAGGTGAGTGTCCAGGGCCTCACAAGGCCTGGTACTCAGACCTCCTCCCTATCCCCACCCATTCCCCAGGTGCTGAACTAGCTAAGGAGAGGTCTGCTCCTCATCTTGTCCAACTTCTTGGCAAGAGCCCTCTGGCAGCCTCCTTCTCCAAGACATTGTCCTTCCTAACCCCTGGTGCCCAGCCCTTTATTGGGGAAAGAACCTCACTGTGGGTTTGGAATGGTGCTCCTGACATCTGGATTTCCAGCCTTTCTGACCTCCCCTCCCGGAAATTCACACGGTTTTGGAATTTGACCAGCACGATGGGGATGAGGCCCTTAAGGTGGCCTCCACGGACAAAGGCTTCTGAATTCTGAGTGTAGGCCAAAGAGGGAGTGACACTGACCAGTCTATGAGCATGGCCAGACCCTCCCTTCTCCCCAGTCCCACCCATCAGGTGCTCCCTACCTATCTGGATAAAAGGCTGGGATTCCCTCCCCTTCCCACTCCCCATGCCTTCCTTATCAACAGCAGTCCCTGCACAACCAGCCTCCCTGGAAAGGCCACACAGGAACTGGCCTCTAGGGATAGAGTTTCCCATCTGCCAGGGGAGACAACATTCCCCTTCCTCGGCCTCCAGGGAATCTTCCAAGGTCTCTCCATTTTGGGAGAAGCTGAGGATTTGAATATGGAAATAGGTTGGATTGGGATGGCAGGGTCCAGAAGCTCCTTTGGGAGAGTGGGGGAGTTAGGTAGGAAGAGGAGGGAAGATGCTGGGGGCAGGAAGCCAAGCTCTGATGGGAGGGTCCCCCAAGGATGGTTTGGGTGAGCTAGAGGTCACCCTCCCTGATTCATCCTAAGATGATTCCCCACCCCTCAGGAACCTTCACTGATCCCTCCCTAAATCTGGATTTTCCCCTCCACCTACCCTGTGACTGTATGCCCACCTGGTTCTATTCCTCCCTCCTCGTTCTCCACCCCTCCCTCACCTCTCCAGGGCAGGTGAAGTTAATCTTCAGGAAGTAAGGGAAGCCCCAGTATGTCTGAAGATAAGGGATACATTCAGCTCAGGGTGATCACCCTGACACCTCCCCCCCGAACACACACACACACACACACACACACACACACACACACACACACACACACACACACACACACACACACACACACACACACACACACACACACACACACACACACACACACACACACACAGTCCCCTTTTTCTGTCATTCCCCTCTTCCTCTCCCACCTCCTTTCACAAACCCCACTGGGAAGAGATATAGAGGGCTCTGGGAGGCTAGGAGGTTTCTTAAGTGTCTTGAAGACCTGAAGGGGCAGGAACTAATGAAAGGACAGGGTGAGCAACAGATGGGAAGACAGAGAGATAGATGGGAGGGAGGAGGGATGAAAAGGCAGAATAGAAGAAGAGATGGAAGAACAGAGATGAGATTGAGAGTTGGAAGCGACTTAAAGGCCGTCTTATTCAACCTCCTTGCTTCACAAGTGAACAGGCCAAGAGAGGTAAAAGGGACTTGTTCGCCCAAGAAAAGACCAGGGTGGACAGACAGGAGCCAAGTGCAACGGATGGAAGCCTGGAGGGTCAGAGGACAATTGGAAAGATGGCAAGCCAGAGAGGGATGGGTGGGCGGCTAGGAGGATGCTGTGGAAGGGACAGACAGCATAGGTGGGGGAAAGGCCAGAGGGACAGCTGGGCCAGGCATCTACCTCTTTTTGGTCGATCGGTGAATCCTCCAGTTTGTTGAAGAATGCGTCTATAGCGGAAACTGGTTCTTGGTCGAAAAACCTTTCGCTGCCCTCTCCCAAGGCCTCGTACTTGTTGAGCACCACTCGCCATTGGCAGAGGTCCTCCAGCTGTGGCTGCGCCGGCAGCGGCAGGAGCAGCAGGAGCAGTAGGGACACCATTATGGTGGAGAGTCCAGAGCTGGGGAGCCCAGGTAGGGAGTCGTGGCCGGAATCCTGGGCAGCGGAGGGGCACCCGCTCCTTCCCCTAGCTCTCTCCTCTTCCATGCACCCGAAAGAGCGATTCTCCCAAAATGGAGGCCTTAATGACCATGAAGTCATTAACTCCCTCTTTTCACCGATTGGGGAAACTGAGCCAGTGACAAGGACATATTTGCTCTAGGCCACTGGAGGAGGGTGAGGGAGGGGTTCTCTGGACGCTAAGAGTCACCCCGCCTAGCTCTCCCTAAACCCCGCCCCTCCCTCCAGGTCTATTCTCTCCCCATCTCGACCCCACCCCTGCTTCTACCTTCATCTTCCCCGCCCACCTCCACGCCCACTCCTAAACTGGCTATTACTTCCTCTCATCCATTCCTCCTCCCCTCAATCCCCAGCCAGGACAGGGAGACCGGACACACCCACAAGGATCTTTCCCTTCTTCTAGAGCCGGTCTGCTTGGCAGTTTCCGACAGCCAAAGGGTTAAGTGGCTAACGGCTGGTTACTGATACCCTACAGCACGTGCCCCCGGGACCTTGTGTGATCCTCCTCACTGTTATCTCTAAGAAAAGTTCGAGACCTTCAGAGGAAGGCGGTCCCATAAGCCTCTCTGTCTCAGCCAGTTAACTTTTTGTTTTTTGATGATCACATTCAACTTCTTCATATTTCATACATGGTTATAACTAGAATACATTTTTGCCTCACCAGCATCAATTTTTAATGACGTTTTCTTTCTGTCTTCTTGAACGGGGAGAGTAAAATGCAGCAATTATCTCGTACAACCTGAGAGAGCTGTTAATGGTGGATAGTGAGAGGAGGTAGAAGGGTGGTGGTGTTAGAACATTATTCTCATCAGAACTGGGTTAAAGAGGAAGTAACATACATCTAGAAGGCTAAAAATCTTCTTTTAAAAATATATTTTATTTTTTTCCCAATTACACGTTAAAACCATTTTTTTTAACATTTAGAGTAAAGGTCTTCTTAACTTACAGGGAAATAGGAAGGTGAGGAGACAGGAAGGAACTCTTAGAAGGATGTGCAGGTTAATAAACAGGGGTGCAAAGGGAGGGTTTCTTAGAAGGGTGGGTAGATTAATAAGTAGGAAAAGGGGAGAGACTCAGGGAGTGACTTTTAGAAGGGTTGTGGATCAGGGAGGCAGTGATCAGAAGTAAATTAGACATCTGAGAAGGGATAGGGCAAAGAGTGGAAGAAAAGGGTAAACAATGAGGAAAAATAGGAAGGGGAGAAATACAATAGTCATTATAACTTTGAATGTGAATGGGATGAACTCTCTCATAAAATGGAAACAGATAGCAGAATGGATCAAGAACCAGAATCCAACAACATGTTGTTTACAAGAAACACATTTAAAAATGAGAGACACACATAGAGTAAAACTAAATGGCTTATTCTGAAGAACACTTTGGAGCTACACACAAAGGGCAGTCAAACTGTGCATATTGTTTGATTTAGCAATACCATTACTAGGTCAGTATCCCAAAAAGGTCAAGCAAAAGGGAAAAGACCCACATGTACAAAATTATTTATAGAAGCTCTTTTTGTAGTGGCAAAGAATTGGAAATTGAGGGGATACCCATCCATTGGGGCATGGCTGAACAATGGAATGGAATGGAGTACTATTGTGCTATAAGAAATGATGAGCAGGAGGATTTCGGAAAAACCTGGAAAGACTCAGATGAACTTCGCTGAGTCAAATGAGTAGAACCAGGAGAATGTTGTACACAGTAACAGCAACATTGTACAAACAGCAAACATTGATAGACCTAGCTCTTCTCAGCAATACAATGATCTGAGACAATTCCAAAAGACTCATAATGGAGTATGCTATCCATATCCAGAGAAAGAACTATGGAGTCTGAATGCTGATCAAAGCATACTATTTTCACTTTTTTGTGTTTTTTTTCTTTCCCGTGGTTTTTCCATTTTGTTCTCATTCTTCTTTCACAGCATGACTAATGTGGAAATATGTTTAACATGATTGTACATGTACAAGCTATAGCAGATTGCTTGCTGACTTAGGAAAGGGGGAATGGGGGGAGAAAGAAAAATTTGGAACTCAAAATTTTGTAAAAATAAATGTTGAAAACTATCTTTACACAAAAACTATCTTTGCCATTAAGTGGAGGAAAAACCCTGAATACTGTAAAAATATAATGACAAAATTTTGTCTAAAGAGGAGATGTAAGATGGCAGCCCTCATCTTCCTTGCAGAGGGAGGCTATGGGTGTGGAACATTGTATATAATGTTAGATTTTTTCTGATATATTAATTAGTCCTTCTGAACTTTTTTCACTGCTTTTTTATTCTTTATTGTAAAAGCTGGATGTTTCAGGGATGGGATAGATGGGTACACAGAATCTAGTTTATATTGTGAGAGTCAGGTAAAGGTTAAATTTCTACAGAGAAAGAGAATAATGCAGAGATTTAAAGAACAAAGGTCCCAGGAAGTGGTACACTGTAGGTGGGCTGGGCTTGACCAATAGGAAGTAAGTGGATTGTTCCAAGAAGACCCCAAAATCAAGATAAGGGTCAAGCCAGCTCAGACCAGTTGGGGTCAACCTGAGGACACCTGAAAAGTGCTAGTGTGCCTGCTTAATGAGCTTCATTACTCTTATCTGACACACCCCGCATAAAATTGGAGCCTCATTAACGAGTCATGGGATGTATGACCAGGGGAGGGGGAACATACTTGAGCATATCAAGGGGAAACATGTAAGGAAAGGTGTAACTTGGGAAGGGATGGACCAATCCTGGGAGGTTTCACGCCAAATTCAACTGCATAAAAACACACTTGCCCTTACACTCAGGGCCCACCCCCTCCTGAAGAGGGGTGGAGCCCGCTTCTGGCCAGAAACATCTAAATCCTCTGGACTTTCTTTATAATAAATTTTCTTGATACTAATTTTTTGGTGTCAAGTCTATTTCTAACAATTTGGCGCCCAACGTGGGGCTCGATCTGGATTTCGGAGGGGATAAGGTAAGACATCCCGGGAAGAGCGCTCCCGCTGTATTTCAGCGGTCTCGGTGAATTGAGCCTTTCCCAACCGAACTCCTGATCTAGGATCACGTGGAAGAAGTCCAGGGGATTGGGGAAGCCGCCGGCAGACCACAAGAGCCAATATATTGGGCAAAGGTAAGAAACAATCTTTGCTGGTCTCAAACTCCCAAGGTCCGGGGATCTGATCGGTTAGCCATGAGCTAGGAACAGATTCGGAGATGGGAGATGCAAATTCTAAGGTACCTGGAAGAGGGGGAGAATACCCAGGGACGACATTCCTTCTGATAGCCCTCTGGGAAAGATGTTAGAAAGTTGGGAGGACGCTCCCAGGACTAGAGGGAAGAAAATGATTAAATATTGTTGCCAGGAGTGAACTAAGGAACCTGTCCTGGCACCATCAGTGTTTGGGCCTAAATTTTGATCAGATGAGGATTGGATTTGTCAACTGCTAAATTTGTACGTAAATGATAAGAGAGAGGCCTCTCAAGAAGAAAAAGGTTATGCTGGTTGCTGTGGCCCAGGGGCTATAACCCCAACAGCGACAGGTATATTCTTAAGTCAAGTAAGAGGAAAAGAAAAGAAGCAAAAAAAAAAAGAGAGAGAGAGAAAAACCTCAGAACCTATTCAAAGGGGACCCTAGGACAAAATGATTTTGTTTTGACCGGTCAAGGTTAGAAGTAGGATTGTGCGCACCCTGTCTGTCTGTCTGTCTATGTATGTTTTGTGTCTACCAGAAAAATTTTGGGGTAACTTTTGAGGTCTGAGATTGGAAAAGGAACTGTGGGAAAGACCTCCTGCCTCAGGCTTTCTGGGGGAGATTGAGATTAGAATAAAAAAGGAGAGAATCTCTCAGAAGTTAGTGGAAGGCCAGCAAGCGGCCTTTAACTGATAAGGAGCTTGCAGCCCAAGATGGTTAGGGCCAAGAGAAGAAAAAAGGCCCAGGATTAGAATTCAGGTTTCCTGGGATCCCAAGGCTAAGAGTTTGAATGGCTGTCTTTATCCCTCCCGCCAATGTGTCTGGCATAGGGGCAATGTGCTTAACATTACAAAAATAAGGGTTTTTAACATTATAAAAGCTATTTGGGGAAAGGCTGGGAGAGTGCTTTTCTCTGGGTTTGCAATTCTTATGTCCCTTCTGAGTCCAAAGCTGCCCCAGCCTTGATGAGTGGGTATTTGTTTTGAGGTAAGCCACCCTTGGATATTGATTCTGGCTGCCTTCAAGGTGTTTTAAAAATGTGAGGAAGTTTGACTCTGCTTTGGGTAGAATTGAAGTGAAATTTTGCAGATCATTGTGATTGGAGATTGTTACATAAACTGGGCTGTTCAATTACTTATTGGAACTCTAGAAGCTTTCTGCCTAAGGGGAGAAAATTGATTAGGCCTAGTTAACATTGAAGTAGGAAAGAAAAAAGGAAGATAATTGTTTAAAGCAGGAATTATTTACACGTGTCTCTTTAAGGGAATATACAAACATGTGGAGAATATTTCCTTTTAAAGGGCCAAGAGTATTGGATTTAAAACAAAAATGTTTTTACATGTTTATCATATATAGCCATTATAAATTAGGATCTGATTGGATTTAAGTTTACTGTTCTATGAAGGAAAAACAGTGGTTATTATGGAAAAGAAAATGAATGATGATTGTAGAGTGCTTAATACAATGGCATATGTTGGAAGTGGCACTATTTATTATTTATGTAATTGTTAAAAGTACTAAGAGTAATAAGAGTGATAATTTTATATGTGATAATCTAGAAATTCAATTGATGTTATCTGAAGTTTATTGTTTAGGTTATTACTGTATTTCTAAAATGTATTTCTAAAACTCTTAGACTGTAAAATTTGAGGGACCACTGTGAGGTAGAAATGGTGTTAAAGTAACTCTTGGCCTAGAATGGGTCTTCAGTGATAAAGAGTGGAGATGTCTCTTTATCTTTAGTGATGAAATTGAGATAGTTTGAAACTGTTAAATACCTAGTGAGGTATATTGGGTTTTAAGACTATGATAGTAGATTTTCATTTAAAATCTTGACTATTATAAAAATATATGGTGGTTTAAAGTTATAGTCTCAACATATCAATGATGAGATGAATGATTTTCTGTACAAAGTGACTTAGAAGAACATCCATCTAAACTGATAATGGGTCGTTTCAAAGTTTATTACAATTGTGGAAATAATTTTATAATGTATGCCCTGTGGTACAAACATATTTTATTGTGGAAAAGCTTATTGATATGTATTTGGAATTAATGAGGTATTCTCTCATATCAGGGCCTGAATTAGAAATTAGAAAAATAGGAAAATATATATGTACATATATGTTTTTCAAACCAGTCCTTTAGGATAATTATTGGGTTTGTTGGGGGATGGGCCATTGAAGTTGAATCTGGTTGTGGCCCGAGGCTATCAGACCCCATAGATAATAAAGAAAAGCCAGTCTAGTGGGATGGGAGTGGCCCCAGGAGACTGTTGAACCTCGTGAAGGGGTTCAGAAAGAAAGAAAAGTTTTTATTTTTAATAATAATTG